GAACACTCAGAATATTTAGGTAGGTGGATGTTTATGTGTGTGGCCTTGCAATTTGATGAATGTCACTGAAAAGCAGCAAAAGGACAAAATAATTATGTTATTTACAAATAAGACTCATATCAAATCTTATACTTCCAATAAATTTTTTGAGAGTTAATCAATTGATTACTTTTTAGATTCCTTCAGGGTACAGAGTGTCTAATGTCACATGGAGAAATTTGTTTGTTTTAGAATATTGTTTTATTTTCTTTAGTAGAGCTCATAGTGACATGTTATTGATTTGGTATTTGAAGTTTAGAGAGGCAGAGAGAAGGCAATGTCGCACAGAAAGCGGAAGTTAAGATGAATAACATTTACTTTGAAATTAAGTAAAAGCTTAGGACTCTATAAAAATGCCACAAAGGTAGAAACTATTGAATGCTGGCAAGATAGATATGGAGTTGATAAGCGCTATATCAGAAAGGACCTTCAGGGTCGTCTGGCCCAACCACCTGCAGCTACAGATGTGAGGCAGCGCTCAGACGAAGGAAGTTACTTGTCAGCGTCTCCCAGACCCTCAGCTCAGCACTCAGAGTACAAAGTGAGGCACAAGCCCCTCCTCAGACATCTCGTTGAAAGTCACCAGTGTAATGACTTTAGTGGTTCTTCCCTACTAGGAAATATTAATCATTTTAAACATGTCTAAGGAAAGCTCATTAACATATCTGATTTTCAAGCCTGTCATGGAGGCACATGCTTATAAGCCCAGCACTTGAGAAGCTGAGGTAGGAGGATTGAAATGAGCTCAAGGCCAGCCTGGGCTACATGGTGAGTTCAAGGTCAGTCCCTGTTTAAATAAAAATTAAAAAAAAAACAAGCCAGAATCCACCAAAACAACAACAAAAAAAGTGTTAACACATTAGGGAAAGAAAAAACATGTATAAATATTTACCAAGACATCATAAAATTAATACAAGTTACCTTTGACCTCTACAATTACAAGAGGTGCTCCAAGTGGTGCCAGTAACTTCCAGACCTGTATTAGTGCAGCGAACTGCTGCTTGGGTGACCTGGGACCCTGAGACTGCTGCATGAGCATTTTCAATATCTTCTCCAGGTGTAGTGGGTTTTCTGCAGTGTACATCCTCTGAGGTCCCCTCTATAAGGGTAACACCATCTATGGAAAAACATCGTATCATTTTTTTCCCTCTGACATGTATATACTATTTTTTTTTTTTTGAGAGAATCTGTTTCTCTATGTTGAAACTACTTCGAAAGTCCTGCTTTGAAAATAGGACTAAGATTTCCTTTTCTATAAATTACATTGATGGGTTAATCCCAATTATGTCAGTAGGTATTTCTTCGACAATTCCAAGGGCAGTGACATCCACATCTATCTGTATGCTGGGTCTCTCGTGGAATAGGGGGCTCCCACAGTGCAGGGAGCAGAGTCAGGGGCTGGGCTGCAGTTCATTTGTTATTTGAATTGCTTACAAAATTCAGCGAGGTGCCTGAGACTTTGTTGCAAAGAAACCAGAGATTGCAGACAGCACGCACATCAGAAGCCCAACAGAATACTGAGGGCGGGGCAGCCCTTGTCTGTCTTTGGAGGAGCTCTTGGTTGGCTACACAAGGTGAAAGCAGCACTGATCTCTTTAGATTTGAGGGGGAAAAAAGAGAAATTAACAAGAAGACAGCCTGAAAAATGAATTTGCACTTGCTATAATTAGCGATGAATATCACAGAAAAGGCAAAATATGCTTTGAGGGCCGATAATATAGCTCAGCAGCACAGCACCTGCCTGGCAAGTACACTGTCCTGAGTTCGATTCCTGATACAAAAAAAAAAAAAAAAAAAAAAAAAAAAAGTGAAAAAATAAATGCCTTGAAATGTTAGCTGATGATACTATGAAGCCATTAAGACAAGTGAGATTATCTTGGTCTTAACCATCTAGCAGAAAAGTATAAAAACAAAGTACAAGAAATAAAGCCATGTTGTTATGTTGAGCTGTAGGGGACTCAGGTCAACAACTTCTGATATTGCCAGTGAAGTGGAAGACCCAATACTATTATGGACTACTGGACTATTTTGGAATATTTTGTTGAGTTCACACGCCTATAATATTTAAGTGATGGAACTAAACAAAAAAGGGGGATACAGATGAATGTTCATTTTGTATCTGTGCATTCAAAATGGTTAGGATAGATATATAGCTACATTCTCTTAATCCAAGGAATAGAGGGATTTGTTCTAATAGTGTTTGTAAATAGGATATCATGTCTGCATCTTGTACAACAAATAACCACTAGGAAGACAGTATGCAATGTGCTAATTATTGGAACTGTCCTACCAATTTGATTTGAAACAGTCTCATTGCTATTTATTTCTCAATAAAATTAGGGGAAAAAAAGACAAGTGAGAAACTCAAAATTGGGTATCGAGAATCCAAAAACACCTTAAATTATGGTATTTAAGACCACATTTACTGAGGTTATGGACACAATCAAACCACAACATGCTGAACTCTAAGAGGTCCTTCGCATTCTCTCTGGAGCCATAGCAGCACACCTGGCACCCAGGGTCTGTGCTGACAATGACGGAGCTCTGTTGACCCAGTGACTTGTGGCGAGGTGACTGCTGTAAGCTTCAGTTTCTTTTTTTTGTAAAATGGAGATGACCAGCTCATTTACTTGAATGTCATTCAATTGCATGAGGCGATTTATTCTGCCCCTACACCCAAGAAACACACTACTGGTATTGCTATTCGGACCAAATTCACCACCCTCCTTGGAGCATTAAAGTGTATTCATAGCACCCAAAAGACTCTTGAAAATTCTTACGGAAAAAAGTTAAATTGTACAGTAATCTACGTGACTCAGTTACTCTCTAGGGAGCCTGGGAGTAAACCTCTGCCCCCTGCTGGTGGATATGGTTGGGGTGGGCAGGGGTTATTTGCTATTCTGTGGGATCCTTTCTGTCCCTACAGGATCTAGCATGGGAATCTCTATTCACATTTTTCAGGAAACAAAATCAAACCCTTGAGGGTTCTTTGAGTAAAAATTTAAGTGCAATTCTCTAGGTTCTTCTTTTGGGTATGTTCTTTCTTATTCATGGTAAATGTTTGCAATACATAATAACTATATTCATGCTGGGAAATTGGTACATATATATGTCACATTCTGATCATTTTTCTTCCACTCTGCGCTTTACCCCATTTCCAGATCCCTTCCCATCTTACAAAGCCTACCTCCTGATTTCCTATATGTCTCTTTTATTTTGCTCTTTAAATTATTTATATTCTGGGTATATAATTTCTGAGTCACTTGCCCTTTTTCTCTCTCCTGCCTTGAAATTTGACAGTAATAAATAAGCTGAGAGGAAAGCTGTGATTGCCTGCCCAAAAGGCATCCTTTTAAGAATCATAACCATAGAAAAGAAATGAGAGGGTCTCTCCGCATGAAATAAAACTCTCTGTACTTCATAAAACCCAAGTTAACATGCAGCTCGGTGCCCTGGGCAGTGGTAGTGCCTGCTACCCAGGGCTAACTTCCTTTGGGAGCTGGTCACTGCGGGAGGAGGTGGCAGGTTCACTTACAGCCAATCCATTTTTTTAGAATTAATCTCTTCTCATGGTGTCACTGAATCTTCACACTCCCTTTTCACCTTTGTCCTGTGAGACTTTGGTCTTTTCTCACAGTTTGGAAGGAAACTGTGATGATATGGGCAGGCAGTGGTGTGGGCCTGAGAGAAGAAGCTGTTTCTTGTCTGTCTGTTGGTATCGTGTATGCATTTCTCAGCTCCCATGATCCTTTGCCTGGGCTCGCATCAGTCAGTGCCTCTCCTAGCTCACCTGTGTGGGCCAGTCCCACAGGCTGAGGGGGACAAAGAGTTGCAGCTTAGGAAATGCTCTGCTTCTGCTGCCCACTTCAATCATTCTGTAACTCACTGCCTTTGCTAGAGAGGCCTCAGGTCTTTGTGGTCATTAATGAAAAACTTTAATGAGCTCCAGACACTCTAGAAGATCCCCTCTAATCCCTAGGTTGAGAAGTCAGAGGTACCAATTGGTTTGCTGTGACCGGTTTGCTGTCTTTGGGTTTGTGTTTTTAGAAAGGATATTTGACTGTCTATGTGCTTCCTTCTTATTGGACTGCATTCCAAACAAATGCTATAGGGCCTGGTGTGTGGGAAGACTGTTCACTGTTCAAACACACTCTCTGCTGACATTCAGCTCCATGCCTTGTGCCACACACCGGTGTCCAGAGACCTCAACAGGTCTGAGCAAACACTAACCTATTTAGCTTTTCCAGTGATGGTGTAGAATGACAACCTCTTCACCAACCCTAATTCTCAAGGTGTTTCATTTTAAGTCATATTATATTTCATTTCTACTGATGCTCAGCCTGGGCCCTGGTTTATGTAAGATAACAGTGACTGTGTTGGGAAAATGAGTCATGTTTTGAGGAAAGTGAAATTAGAATCAGTTACACAAGTAAAATGAAGATGGCGACATTGGCGCATGACAGCCAACATCAAAGAAAGAGCTGGAAAGAGTTGTGGGGCAGCACCCAGCTTCTGATCCCAGTTCTGTCATCAACAGTGGTAGGGCTGTGGAAACATCAGTAGTAGTTCTTTTGTTGTTGTTGTTGTGGCCGGCTCAGCCCACAGTGGGGGCGGGGCTGGAGCGGCATATAGTGCTGAGGATTGAACTGCGGTCCCTGTGCTTGCCTAAGTTTGCCTAAGCAGGTACTTTAGACTGCTGAGCTATCTCACTGGCCCAGTAACAGTTCATTTAAAGTAGTTTGTTTTCATAACTTGGCAAAGCTTGTTTCTTACACTCTTACAAAAATCACTGAACATTTATAGGAACTCTTTATTCTCTATACAATAACTTTTACTAAAATATAGGACCAGGAATTAAATATTAATTTTGCTTGCACTGGTAGTCATAGAGAAGTATTTCATCTAGATTAGATAAAATATCACTGAAAATATTGCACTTTGGTTTCTTTTTTCCTACTTAGGCCCTGCACCTTTCCTAATTTTCACCCATGGAAGCAGCATCTTTAGAATTGACCCAGAAGGAACCAATCATAAGCAGTTGGTGGTGGATGCTGGTGTCCCAGTGATCATGGATTTTCATTACAAGGATGAAAGTATCTACTGGGTAGATTTAGGAAAAAACCTTCTGCAACGAGCTTTTCTGAATGGATCAAGACAAGAGGTAAAATACCATCACCCATAGTATTTGAGGGATTTAGCTACAGGCTGACCAATATGATGTATTGAGTTCTCAATGTACAGGAAATAAAAAATCCATTACTTTTTCAATGAGCATGTGCCAAATGCAGGAGTTTACTTGGCATTTGTGGTGCTGTATTATTGAATAAGCTCACAAACTGGTATGATAATTCCTCAAAAGCAGAACATGAAGACATTGATGTAATTTTGAAAGTATTTTATTAGGTCAGGTATGATTGAAATAGACTATATACATCATTTTTTTCTACTTCACTGATTCTCAACTAGAGGGCATTTTGCAGACACACACATGCCCTTTCAGGGCTCAAAGGATATTTGGCAATGTCTTGAAACAGTTTCTCACAACTATGTGAGATAGGAGGACAGGCAATGGATAAAGGCCAAGATGCTTTAAACACCCTACAATATGCAGGACAGCCCCCATGAGGATCCAGCCCCAAATGTCACTGTAGTGAGTTTGAGAAACGCTGTGTTATCTGTATAATGGTCTCTGTCATTGAGGGAAAAAATCACAGCACATGATTAGCACAACCTTCAGCATTTACTCCCTGACACAACACTCTCACTGTTTTTCTTTTAAACCAATCTTTCTTTCTCTATTTATTTTTAAAAGTTTCAATAAGGTGTTAATCTATCTTGTCACATCTCTAATACTTTTTAATCTTACTTTTAAGCATGCCTACTCATTATTCTCCAGGCAATTGCTAGAGTAGTTTCAGAATCTTAAGTCTAAGAATATGGAGGGCTTCCAGTCACAGAACCAGAAAACGATATACAAATTTTGTGTCAAGTTATTAGGAAAAGATGGGACTGATGTCTAAATGTCTACCACTATATTGTCTTTTGTGAATTAAAAATTGTTTGCAAATGGCCACTATTCAAATGCAAGCAATTTATCTGGGAGAACTTAAGTATAGAAATATATTAGCAATTGTTGAAATAGATTGGCTGGATTGCGTTGTCTGAGATGTAGAACAACCCAAGTATACAAAGAGAGTTTTGCTGCTTGGGTCAATGTGAGGGCTGTGAGTTCTGTAGAAAAGAAGGACCTCATAGAGGATGAAGGGCCAAGAGAGAAATGAAGTCCTTGACTAGAAATGAACCCACTGCCAAGCTCTATGCTTAAACTCCGAGGGAATCTTGCTAGGCTTTGGCAAAGCTTGGAATTTAGCACAGATGTGGATCTGGATGATTCCATTAAAAAGGAAAATCAAATAAACTAATTTTAGGCAGCATAAAAGCCCTACAGTTGCTATAGTTTAAATTAATAATTGTTTGATGGCCTAATTTTAATAACGTATAGGACAATTTTTCAGTTGCAGAGCTATGACATAAATACCATGCCTGGAAATCATCATAAGGGTGATGGTAGTAGAGGGTTAATATTGCTGAATCAAAACAATGGCACCGTGTCCCATGTCTGTGACTCCTTTATTATTTAAGAAATTCTAGGAATATGTATGAAAACGTCAGGTACTTTTTCCATACAAGAATAACATGCTTTGTTGTAGATGGAATATTAATGGTTTCAAAATTTGATTTTACAGAAAGTGTACAATATAGGGAAAAATGTTTCTGGAATGGCAATAAATTGGATAAATGAAGAAATTATTTGGTCAAATCAACAGGAAGGAACCATTACAGTAACAGATATGAGAGGAAAAAATTCCCACGTTCTTTTAAACACCTTAAAACATCCTGCAAATATAGCAGTTGATCCAGTTGAAAGGTAAATTCTGCTGTTTTAAGACATTGAAACAAATTTCACATCTAATGAAGATTCCTAGAAACACAACATTTTGAAGTCCAGGGGACCGTATCCTTGATACCTAGATCTTTAGAGTATATAATCACTGTGTTTATTGGGACCATCATGGGCATTTGAACTCAGGAAGGCTCCCTCTAAAACATAGATAACTATATATTTTTTTCAAAGAAGCATAATTCCTTTAACTGGAAATCACATAGACTTTCCATAGCAGGAAATACATACTTGTTGAATTGAACTTTCATTAAAATATTCAGACTCTTCCTGAGCAGGAGTTACAGGCTGCTGGGGACATTGCAAGGGTCTGTGATTTCTGTCACTATCCACTCATTCACTTATGAGTTTATGTGATGTCTGTCCTCAGGTTTATATTTTGGTCCTCAGACATGCCCAACAGCCTTCACAGAGCAGATCTCAGTGGTGTAGAAGCGAAGACTCTGTTGGTGACATCAGACAAAATCAAAGCGATGTCCCTGGATGTGCTCAATAGACGTCTCTTTTGGACTGAGGAGACTAGAGAAGGAAGCAGTTGTCACATTTCCTCCTGTGATTATGATGGAGCTTCCGTCCAGCTTATCAAACATCCAATACAGTAAGTTTTGCTTTCTGTGTAAAAAAAAAGCAATTATCACTTGAGGTGTGCATGATAAGTTAATTTGTCAATTGCACTGGTGTGCCAAAGTAGCACCTAAAATTTTACAATCCAAAAGGCTTGAGTTCCAGTTCTAGATTTACCCATTATTAGGTGAATGATTTTAGAAATGCTACTATAATTTATCCTTAATCTTTGCTGAAGTGAGAAGAATAATAACAACAGAGTTTCTTGGAGTTATTGTGAAGAGTAAGAAAATAAAGTAGTAATAGCAGAATATCTGCCATATAATAAATTGCTAGATGTTGGCCAGAGTTCTTTTTGGAATTGGCTCATCACATTTTGCACAGCACCTGTCTTTCATTTGACTGGCTAGCATGCCAGTAACTGACTTTTCACCTTGTGAAAGTGGTAGACATTTGCCAAGTGTGGAATAGGTAAAACCAGAAATCTACTCTTATCCTGTTCTTGTTTTCTCCCTCATTTTCATCATCCTTCCATGAGGGTTAACAAGATAATCAGAAGCAATCTGGAGTTAGAAACTATATTGTATTAGTTTAGATGATGACATAATTAGAAATTTACACCACACATTTCTGAAATTACATGAAAATAAGGTTTGTTTTTTTTTTAAAGGTAAGTGACTGAACTTAACACAACAAATGGAAATGAAGTAAAACTAATAATTCCAGGAACAGATGGTCTGACATTCTTTTATGGGTTTTCTTTTTATTTCCTTTCATATTTTAGGTGCAGTGTCTTTGCAATGTCCCTTTTTGGTGACCGTATCTTCTATTCAACATGGAAAAGGACAGGAATTTGGATAGCCAACAGACACACTGGGAAGGATATGGTCAGAATTAACCTCAACCCATCACTCTTGCCCCCTGGTGAACTTAAAGTGGTGCATCCACTTGTACAGCCTAAGGCAGCGGACAATGTTCAGGACTCTGGTGAGTCATCTTGGACCTCAGAGGGCCTGGCACACTGGCACTACCTGTGTTCTTGCTCAAGCCAAATCCAGGGCGTGGAGGGAAAAAAGTTGTTTGTTCAATCCTTTTAAATTCTTTATTGGAACAGACTCTCCATAACAAAAGACAGACAAACAAAGAAAAACAAGTAGGAATCTATTAACTTGTGTATTTCATCAGGAGACAACCAGGGAATGAGGAGGCCTCAGCAAGCTGGCTTTCAATCTAGTTTAAATACCATCTCCCACAAAGAGCAGGACAGTTTCAGAAAAGTGATGAGAGTCTTTACTGGTGGCCCGTAGGTGAAGGCAAATAAATGGAGACAGAGGTCAATGAGTAGCGCTTATTACTGTTGATTCCCCTGGTGCCATCTCTATATACAAGGAGGGTGTAGGTTCATCCTCGGTTGTGAATCTTTGCTTTCTCTGATACATAGGGAGGCAGGGTAACTTCTGCTTTGTCTTTTTAAAATTCTTTTTGGTACAGTGTCTCACTACACAGTTTGAACTCATAATGATCCTCCTGTCTCAGCCTCCCTAGTGCTGGGATTACAGGCAGGCACCACAGCACCTAGTTTGGGGGCCAGCATGGCATGCAGTACCAGGGATCGAACTTGGGTCCTTACACTTGCCAGGCAGGCCCTTAGACTGCCAAGCTATCTCCCTAGTACTCCTCTTCTGTCTTCGTAAACCCGTGTTAACAAAAAGAAGACAGAAAGGTTTCTTTGATCTGCTTCCCCTAAATTGTCTGCAGCTCAACACTCTTTAGTACTTTAGGGCCACATATTCTGTTCTCCTTGATTGATCCTACTGCTTCACTCCCCGTTTCCAGCTGGCCACCAAATTCTCTCCATTCTGCTCCTTCCACACATGCCAAATATCCACGTCTTTCCTCTCCTGCCACCAGCGCTGTCCACACAACCAGCCTTTCCTGCCTGGCCTGTTGCAGTCGCTATGTTCCCCTTTTGCCTTTAAATAATAAATCTCATTCATTCACACCTCTGCTGAAAATCCTTCAAAGCTTTCCTTTGTGTTTAGATTGAAATCCAACATATGGCCAGGCCTGTCAATATTTAACCACTTGCCTAGCACTCTCTTCCTATGGGCCAGGGCAAGGCCCTTTACTGGTCTTCGGTTGGGCCAAACTTCCTCTTGACTTGAGACTTTGGCAATTGCTTTTGTTTCAGCCTGACTTTCCTTCAGTTCTGATCTTCAGTATTATGTGCTCTGGCAGGGCTTCGCTGACCAGCCGTCATAGCAGGCTGTTCTCCTGTGTTTCTCTCAGCACCCTTTTATTGAACTTATTACAGGCTACACTTATAAACCAACCATGTATGATTTATTCGTTTGCTTTTAACCACAATAGGTACGGTGCTTATTCAAAAATAAATACATTTCAGACAATAAATGTCACTCAAGTGAATGAATCATTGACTAAATCTCGTCAGAGTCCCAAATTTCTACTTCCAAGCATAGTCTTCTCTGAGCTCCTTAGCACCTACTTTTTTTTAAGTTAAGCTTTTACATGTTTTGATAATTGTTTAGCTGCTCGGTGTGGCTTACGTGGTACATAATTGGTGTACAGACATCTTATCTTTTTTTTTTTTTTTTTTTTGAACTCAGGCCCTTGCGCTTGCCAGGGAAGCACTTATTCCACTGAGCCATCTCCCTGGCCCCTGACATCTCATCTTGATGTATATAAAAGTTCTATTGTAGGAAGGTTATGATAGATATTTAATTTTATTCCCAATGAGGACTCTGAAATGCAGAATTGTTTGTTTCCACGCTTCCTTCTGTTGGAGTCCATTCGGATTTAGAGATAGGACCTAGTGGCTGTAGTCCTGCCACAATGCAGCCCTGCGTGGATGTGGCTTCTACAGGGAGCTGCAGAGCTGACTGGAGGACAGGCTTGAGCTTGGGGAGCAGAGGCTGGCGTGGAGAGGGAAATGCCCTTCTCATTTCTTTTATCCTCAGGCAGACAACCAACAGCAATAATGTTTTTTTTAAATCTGGTTTCTTTACAAACCTAGCCAGAAACCATCCTTTAACTTCTGCAATGACAGTGATTTTTAACACAAGTAATAAGGAACCACAGAGAACAACAGGCCCCAACAGAAGAAGCGTTTACTCAGATGTTACAAGTTATCTTTAAAAATTGATTTGCTTGATTTACAGAGTTGTTGGGAGGTGTGGCATGGGCTGCGGGAACAACTGCACTGTGGGGTGCAGCGCCACACTGACTGCAGCAGCCTGGTGGCCACCTTAAAATGGAAGGTGAATGCAGTTGTGACTGAGGTGCTGAGTCTGACGCACTGTGGGATACCACCCCTGACTCGAGCTGCCTTCCAGTACAGCTCATTGAGGGCGATGATAAAGAACAAAATTATAGCAGCAGCCACTTGGAATCAGTCCTCGTTAGTCACACTCACAACATAGGTGTCTGCTAACAGCACCATCATCTGCTGTATTCATGATAACCTTGTAGTTTCCAAAACCTTCTCATGCACACTTATTTCTTGGCTCAGCAAGCAACATTATGGGACAGAAATGGGTACTGGTCATTGTACGCATTTTATCACTGGCAAGCTGAAGAAATGGAGTTTCCCAGGGTTCCACAGCTAGTGAGTGAGTGAGTGAATGATGGATTTGGGGAAAAATTCCTAATCATCAACCCACTCGTTTGTGTTCTTTCAACACAGTCTGTCTTCAAAGTCTTCACTATTACTCTTTCTTCTCAAAGGTGAATTCATACAGAAATACTGAAAACATGAATTTCATAAAAAAATCTTATGATTCATGAACACAACCTCAAACAATATGGCCCACAGTGGAACTTGACTGGAGGCCTCTGCTAGCTGCAAGGCCAGTGAAACACCTGAAATCTAGAACACAGCGGGTGCTGGGGACTGGCTTTAGCTACTGACAGTCAGGTGAACTTCCCATACAGTCCAGGCATAAGGGACTTGTGGCTTCAAAGGTGTTGTCCCTTTGGCCATCATTAATTGTGTTCAAGTTGCTTAAATGGCTTAGAGAGCAGAAATTTTTCACCTGGGATTTGGGGTCTGTGAATTTATGGATTTGGGGATTAGATGACATATGCAGTTATTACCCTGGGGAAACAGTGTATATTTTGATCATGCTCTCAGTGTGCGTCGTCCCTTCCAGCAGGAAGGCATGCTACTGTAGAGATGAGCTTGTTTCTTCTGGATGATAGACCTGCTGTGGCAGGCAGCTGCTGTGGTGAGATGCATCGTAGTACTTGTGTTTGTCTGACCTTTGGGAGTGTAGCTACTCACCTTACCTCTTTTCTCATCACTCAGACACCAGACCCAACACCCACAATTTAAAAGAGGAAAGGTTTATTTTGGCTCATGGTTTGTAGAGGCTTCGTCCACAGTTGGCTCCAAGGCAGGGAGGCCTGGCAGAGGGACCTGGCAGAGGAAGAATACTTTCAGGGCATGGTGTCAGGATGCAGAGAGATCAAGGGAGGAGCAGGAGGAGGAGACAGAGCCTTGCAGGCCCATGACTCACCCCTCCAACCTGGCTTCACCTGCCTACCCCACGTTCAGCTATAAATACATTAGTGGCCTAACACACCAAAGAGTATCACACACTCAGGACTCCATCACCTTCTCAAAGCCCTACCTATGAGCATATGAGGTTGGGGGCTTAACAAGATACCCTAACACTACTTCTATGAGATAACTGAGATCTGCAACATAGTTTGTCTCATTTTTGCTATAAAATACAAGTACTTAACAATAATATGAATAACCTTATTTCTCCTTGCAAAATGTCTAAACTTCTATTTATCAGAATGTGTTCTACAACACTGTAGTCCTGTGGGATTTAACAGGAAGGGGTGGGGTGCCTTTCTAGCTAAAGCGATTTATAAATGCTGAATTAAGTTGTTTAAACAGCTTTTCCTTTCTCTTTTTTTTCTAAAGCAGAAATTTAATCATTCATACAGTTAAGTGCCTTGTTACTTTCTATGAGCCATTCAAATTGAGGCATTTTCTATTTTATTTCCTGGGCAGCAGCCCAAGTGACACTTAAATCCATTATTTCTAGCCTAGATCTTCTATATTTTCTCTGAGCTCTAGACCAAAAAACAAAATTTTTAAAGGAATTCTGAGGGTTGGGGATTTATAGCCAGTGGTAGAATGCTTATCTAGCAAGCAGGAAGTCCTAAGTTTAGTCCTCAGCACCAAAAAATTTAAAAGCTTTTAAAATAAAGGAGATTCTGAGGCTTAATGAATGTTAAGCTATAAAGATCTGCTACAGAACAAAGCCACAAGGAAAATTGCTTTCAGGGGCAGGGGAGATGGCTCAGTAGAACACGCACTGCCCTGGCAAGCATAAGGGCCTCAGTTCAATCCCCCGTTTGCGGGGGACGGGGTATGCAGGGGAAGGAAAATTGCTTTCAAACACTGGCAAATTGCTTTCAAATTGTATTCACAGTGTACAAAAGGAGCAGCCCTGCACAGACTGTCTGTCTGTTTAAGGCAAACGTGCAATTTACTGAGTAGGGCCACAGAGTTTTTTTGAGGGAGACTCATTTGTTGGTTTATGCAAGTCCTTGGCTTGTGGTTTTAGCCTGGCTGATTTTAGAGGAGCTTCATGCTCTGATTGCTAAACCCCAAGTTGAGGGGTGTTTTCTGGCCCTCTGGCTGTTTCCTGGAGAGTCGCCCTGGTCTTTCCTCTGGATGGCACCTCTTGCTGTTCGCAGCCTCCTAGCTCAAGGCCCTGCAGCAATTCCATGAAGTGTTTGTATCTGGACTCACGAGGAACAACCTTATCAGGTCCTTGTAGTTACCTGCTTTCTGGGCATCTCCACTTGGATTTCTTGTAAGTGCTTTAGGTTCAAAGGAAATAACTGACCTATCAACTCTCCGCCTCCCCTCTAGGGTCCCTAGCTCAGGGAGTGCCATCACTGGCCACCTGAGTCCTCAAGACAGAAACCCAGGAATCTCCTGTTCCCTT